AAATAATATTGCGACTATAAATTAAGATGTAAGCTATCCTATCTTGCAAGTTGGATCAAACTGCACATTGAGTGCAAAATTTTATTAAAATCTCTTAAGTAGTTTAGGAGTCCATTGCGGACAAACAACGTGAAATGTAATGTATATATATTAGAATTATTACATTAAATAATACCAAATTATCTACTAGGAGAGGTGATTAACTAGACTCATTCAAACAATGTTTATTTTATTTAAACAAAAATGTTTATATGCAAAATAATAAGTTAACAATTTGATTTGAGATATAATAAAAGAAAGTTGATGTTAAAGAAAATTTGGTGACAAAAAAACACTTGATGGCATACCAACTCAAGAAACTAGGGATGCTTATTGTGATTTCAGGAAACAAACTCCTTAACTAACATGTTTAGTTGAAAGGTAATTATAGTATTTCGTTTCATGCACAATACAGTTTCTTTTATATTAAAACTTTAATCTAGAATTGTTATCCCGATATGTGATGAGACTCTGACATGAAAGTAAATCTGAGTTCTATATCTTCATTTTCAAGGAAACCAGTTCAACCTCTAAAATATATTATTAATGTAAAATTAATATTTTCCAAGTCTTCACATTTCTATATTACTTGATATTTTTGTCTTGGGATCATAAGTCAGCTCCTCTCTAGAAATCAACAGAACTTCTCAAAGCATCATATTTCCCTCTGAAATCAGCCAATAATAAAGCACTATGGGACAATTGGTATTCTGCATCTTGTTTGATTTGTAACACCTTCTCATTGACATTAAAATTCTGATCTAGTTCCTCCCACATTTTGTGGTATTCCAAGTAACACCTGATCAAACTAATCCAAACATCGGCATCTTCACTGCCGAACTGTTTACATGATAATAACAAGACTGTTTCTAATTCTTTCACATCTAAGTCTATTTCTGCTGATTCTATTTTAGCCATTGTTGCATGGAGTTCTTTGCAATATGGCTCTTCAACTGCTAGAAGACTATATTGTTTTCGGGCTTCCTTGATACCTAAAGAAGGTCATTC